AAGTGCCTTTACCAAAAACTAATCATTCGCCCGTGAAGTGCCTTTACCAAAAACCGTGCGCCCGAAAATGTGAACGAAAAATGCGTGTGTGTGTATGTGTGTGCGGATACAAATTTTCGTCGACGATTTCGGGAACACCGATCAACCGAATTGAATAATTCAAAAAACATTCGATTCGTATTGATAAGGAGACGTGCTGACCAATTTTTGGAAAAGACAGGTCTAGCCGTTCCAAAGATACGGGGCAAAAAGTGCCGAAAACGGTAACTCAGTTTTTAAGAGAACGGAGCGTCTGATTTGAATAACTCAAAAAACATTTTACTTGTATTAACAAGATGAAGAATTGGTCAAATTTTCATGAAGGCAGGTTTCGCGGTTTCGAAGACCTAATGAAAAAAGTAAAAAAAAATGCCATTTGGCGGCCACAAATGATCATTAAACATATGCACATCAAATTAAGAGATATTTTGTAGAGATTTTAACAATAAGTATAAATTTTGTTTACATTCCTATGGTTTCCATACCAATGTTTATCCATTTCGTCTCTATGCAGTCAAAGCAGTACGATTGCTTTGAAAAAAAGTTCAAAATTTCCAAAATATGTCAAAATAAAGAAGTAATTTTTTGTCGAATTTATAGTTTCTCAAAAATCTAATTTTTTTGAAGTAAAATTTTTTCAAAAATGTTAATCGTTTTTAAGTAATTTTGGTACGGAAGTTCCATTTGCCTTAAGGCACGATGCCATGCGCCCCACTAGTTATGAATTTTACTGTATACATATTTTATATGTATATACATATTTTATATGTATATTTTTATGAATGTGTGTATTGCGAGGTTTGTTCACTTATGGTAATTGCTTGAAATATATGTGTACGAGTTCTATTTCTTACCAACTCATTTATATGTTGTAGATTTTTATAACTAAACCTTTGCATGTTCAATCCACTTAAAATTTACATGCAAAGTTACGACTAACTGGCAGTATGCAAGTTACTCGATTCGACGTTAAAATAATTTAATAACACCGATGTTTTATCATTTAATTAACTCGGACTGAAATTATTTCTTTTTAGCATTAAGAGAATATTATTTTATCATCAACATAATGTTCAACATGTATTCGTCGTTAGCGTAATTCGAAAAGTTTAGTAATTTAAAATATCCCATTTTATGAAATTACCACACGAGAATGATTTATCAGCACAGTTTCCGCTAAAAATATTCTATGAGGAATCCTAGTTATTAATGTTATTTTCGAATGAATTTCATCGCAAATTGAATTTTCAACACTGCGCACTGATTTTGTTCAAAAGTTTTGTAATGAAATTGTAAAGCTCTTATGAGCTTTTTCAATTATATAACTAGTGGGGTGCATGGCCTTAAGGCAAATTGCTGGAACTTCTCGTACTGTAATTAAACAAACGAGAAATAAAAATAATCAACAATTGTTTTGAATAATTTCAAATAGATTATTTATTATAAATGCATACTGAAAATTTAAAAAACACTTAAAATAAGCTTTTTAAATTGGGCGACGAGTATATTCTACGTCTAAGTAAGCGTTCATTTTATTAATTTGTTTTTCCTTTGATAATTTAAAATTCTTTTTAGAGATTTGAGATTTTTTGAATATTCTCAAATTTTTGTAAGAAATCGATTTTTTATTAATTTTAATATATTTTGAAATTTTTCAAAATTTCATTTTGTTTAAAATGATGAAAAATTTCGAAAATTTGAATTTTTTGGAACTTTGATTTTTTTTTAAATTTAGATTTTTTTTTGAATTTTTTTAAAAACTACTCAAGCAAAATGTTTTTTTTGAATTAATTTAATCGGATGATCCGTTCTCTCAAAAACCGTTTTTACACCCTTTGCGCTCCATACCTTCGAAACGGCAAGATTGTCTTCTGCAAAAACGCCTCGCGATCGAATACGAACCAAATGATTTTTCAATCATACAAATCGGTCATTTCATACTGTCGAGAATGTTGAGGACATTTGTTTGAACCGTATACATAAATTATAAAGTTGAAAATCTTGGTACGGAACCATAGATTTTCATTTTTAACTTTCCGCGGGGTAAGTTATAGTAATTGCAAGAAAATAGAAAATGAAAACTTATATATATCATTATATTTCAAATGTTTCTGAAATTTTTTTCATATTTTACAAAAAAATTGATGCATGGAAGTGTGTGTGTGTGTGCGGATACAAATTTTGGTCGACAATTTCGGGAACACGAATCAACCGATTTGAATAATTGAAACAATACTTGCTTCGCATTGATGAGGAAAGCTGCTGATTAGTTTTTGGCGAAGGCAGGTCTAATATTGCCATAAATAGTAATTCAGTTTTTGAGAAAACGAAGCGTTTGGTTTGAATGATTCAAAAATCATTTTATTTGTATTCACAAAACGAAAATCTAATTAATTTTTGGGTAGGCAGGTCCAGCAATTTCTGATATCCAATAAAAAAAGTGAACTAGTGGGGCGCATGGCATCGTGCCTTATGGCAAATTGCTGAAACTTCCCGGACCAAAAATTATTTTTTTTAAAAAGATTAACATCTTTGAAAAAAATTTACTCTGAAAATATTAGATTTTTGAGAGACTAAGTTTTTGACAAAAACTTACTTTTTTTTGAAAACGTAAAGATATATAAAAATTTTCATTTTTGATTTTTTTGCGATTACTATAGCTTGCCCTACGGATAGTTAAAAAATACCATTTGGCGTAAAAAATTATCGTTAGACATAAACACATCAAATTTTCTATTAGATATTTTATGGAGATTTCAATAATAAATAATAAATAACAAATTTTGTTTATATTTTAATAGATTCCGTACCAGTGTTTATCCGTTTGACTGCAACGCGGCGCTTATGCGCTTCGATATTTCTTTTCTAAATTATCTACACAGCACTATAATTTATTTAAGCATAATGCGGCTTTTGCAAAATGACATATTAATGGTATCAATAAAGTTCAGTACAAAACTTTTGTGCATAATTCTAATAAAGTGTATTCTTTTAACTGATACGAACATGATAAGAAAAATAATCGCTTTATCTTTCTTATTATTGCTCATTTTATTACTGATGTTGATAAACAAATATTAAATACGTCAGTTTTTGCTAACATTCTTCACAATGTCATGTCTTATGCGAAAGAGTTTCATCGCAACAAATTTTGTTTTAAAGTTATATAATGAGATCATATTTAGGTACTCTTGACGTATTTTAAAATTATAACTAATGGTGTGTTACATTGTGTCTTGAGGCAAATTACTTACAAATATTACATGAATATAATAATGAACAGATTAAAATTCGAAAACTACATAGAGAGCATATTTTATTAGAGACGATAATAACACATGCTTTTTCAATGAAAGGTTTCAATAAAATAAATTGTATTAAAAAACGTATAATATACGAAATACTTAAAAAGTTACCAAAATCACAATTTTTTGAAATTTAAATTTTCAAAATTTATAATAATTTGTATTGCTGTTATATTAGAATAATTTCATAGATTGATTTCTTAAGAAATAAATTAATAATTTATAATATGATCATATTCGTGAATTCAAGAATATAAATGCGTAAATATACATTATACACACATCTGAATACACTTACATGTACTTAGTGTGATGAATACTAATACTATGTGTATGAGTGTATGAATACTAAGTGTGTGTGTGTGTGCGTGAGTTTGTAGGTATATATTTTAGTTGTACCCATTCACGATTCGTCGTGTTTTATTTTCAATCGAAAATTTGAACAAAAATGCATATTTTTGTTACATCTAGTCTACCAGTTTTCTTGTCTTCCAGTCTACATGTCTATACGACTACCTGTCTACCTCTCTACTTGTCCATCAATTTACCTCTTCAACAATTTACATGTCTATCATTTTACCTATCAACCTGTTTATCAATCCACCATTTTATCTACCTATCAATTTACCTGTCAACCCGTTTTACCTGTCTATCAATTTTCCTGTCAACCTGTCTGTTTATCTGTCTACCATTTGTCCTGTCTAATATTATACAAATCCAATTTACCTGTCTTCCTGTTTATCTTTCTACGTATCTATCTATCTACCTGTTTAACTATTTACCGTTTTACCTGTTTGCCTGACTGCCAGTCTGCTAGTATACCAATTACCAATTAATTAAAAAAGAAAGAATACTATAACAATTCTCACAAAATAGGTGTTTGTGGTAAAGGGTTAAAAATTTAGGCTTATGTGTTTTTATATACGTATTATAAAAATATAAAAAAAAATTGACCGAAAAAATAAAAAGTCTTCGGGGCGGGCGGCCTCTACCACTTGGTTTCAAACCAAATATCCGAAAACCTGTTGGGGTTAACTTAACAATTTTCCAAATTTTCACGGCGATCGGACGTATGGTTTATGAAAAACAGATAATTACTATAATAATTCTTACAAAATAGAAATGTGCCGTACGCAGTTGAAAATTTAGAGTTATATGTGTATTTTATACGCATTATAAAAAAAATTAAAAAATTGGTCGAAAAAAATTAAAAAAGTCTTCGGGGCGGCCAACCCCTACCACTTGGCTTCAATCTAAATTTTCGAAAATCTATGAATGCATAACAATTACACACACACAGGCATGCATTCATTTTTATATATATAGATAGAAACATTTTCTCCCATTGTAAGTTAAAATTATGAAGATATGATTGAAAAATGCTGTGTGACGTAAATTTTTTATCTCATATGAGTGAAAATTTTCTTCAAATATATCTCAGACTTCATATGCAATTTTAGTATTCTTTACGTCACACTTTATTTGCAAAGCAAAAAGTTTTTGTCGATTTTTGCAAAAATTCATTTCGCATGATATTTTATCTCTAAATGCTTACCCAATGTATCTCAAATCAAGAGCAAAACTGTAATAATTTAATATACAGTTCTACTATCGGTCTATATATGAATTTAATACGTTTATTTTAATATTTTGCAGTGAAAGCGCCCGATGCAAGGACTATTTGAAATTGCTTGGTATCACCCACGTGCTGAACACAGCCGAAGGAGCGAGATTTGGCCAAGTCGACACGGGTCATCTTTATTATAGGGACATGCCCACAATAAGGTGAGACAATTCTGGAAGCGGTCCAAATTAAATGAGATTTTAGCCATACAGCTACTTATGTTGGCAACCATCTATGAGTAGGATAGTTTGTTGGAAAAATATAATATAATCCCTTTCCTACTTCAAATAGAAAATTATTACATTCGGATCAGTGATCGAGGGTAGAGGCATTTATGTGATTCGGTTGCAACTGCGATTTATGCGTATTCGGTAAATTACATTTGACATGAAACAAATAAGTTTTCAGAAGAACAATGATCTTAAACACTTTCAATGAATTCCAAGCGCGCAAACATTCCTGATTCCAGCAGGAACTATTTTGAATCATTTTTGACCACCAAATATCTTTTTTTTTTACTTTTTCCTTTGTATCTCCGAAACCGCTATACCTGCGTTACCAAAAGTTTCGTCATTACAAGTAAAATTTTTTTTGAATCATTCAAATCGAGTACTTCGTACTCTCAAAAACTGAATTACCGTTTTTGTCACTTTTTGCCCCGTATCTTCGAAACGGCTAAACCTGTCTCCACCAAAAACTAATCAGCACGTTTTCTTATCAATATGGATCGAATGTTTTTTGAACCATTTAAATACGTTGATTTGTGCGCCCTAAATCGCGGACGAAAAATTGTATCCAAACATATATACATACTATACCAAACATATACACATATACACACATCAATTTTTTCTGAGGTATGCCAAAATGTTCAGAAACTTTTGAAACGTAAAGATATGCAAAAAAAAATTATTTTCGATTCTTTTGCGATTACTATAACTTACCCTACGGGAAGGGTGGTATCGAGTCCGACATACCCAGACAGAAGACCAGTCTGGGATGCATAAAGGCATTTCCTTCGCTATACAAAAAAAAACCTACGGGAAGTTAAAAATGAGTTTTTTCATAAGATTAAAAAAACAATCGAAATTCAGTCAAAACCGTTCACTAACAGAAGTCGAGAAGAAATATGATGTAATTACTATAACAATTCAAACGAAATAGATGTTTGTTGTAAGATGGTGAAAATTTTGAGTTTTATGCATGTTATACGTTTTATATAAAAAAAAAAAACTAGTGTGGTGCATGGCATCGTGCCTTAAGGCAAATTGCTAAAACTTTCCGCACCGTAATTAAAAATCTTGGTACGGAACGCAAAAAATCATACACAAAATGTGTACACATTATTAAAATTTCTATAAAATATCTGATAGTATGATGTACATATGTTCAATAAACATTTTGGACCGCCAAATGACTTTTTTTTAATTTATTTTTATTGAAAGTCTATAACCGCTGGACCTGCCTTCCCAAAAATCAATTCTTCACCTTGTCAATACATGTAAAATGTTTTTTGAATTATTAAAATCGGACGTCCCGTTCTCTTAATAACTGAGTTACCGTTTTTGGCACTTTTTGCCCCGTATCTTCGGAGCGACTAGACCTGCTTCCGCCAAACTAATAAAGCACATCTCCTTATAAATACGATTCGAATATTTTTTGAATTATTCAAATCGGTTGATCGCTGTTCCTGAAATCGTCGACGAAAATTTGTATCCGCACACACACACACATACATTCATTTTTTCTAAGGCATGCCAAAATATTCAGAAACTTTTGAAACGTAAAGATATATAAAAAAAATATTTTCGATTTTTTGCGATTACTATAACTTGCCCTACGGTAAGTTAATGAAAAACAACTGCTGAATTTGTTCAATTTTTTCTGCGGAATAATCGTTGTGGAGATTACGACATGCCATTTTGCTTTTCAAGGTGACTTTAAATTATCGTCCAGTATATGCAGAACTTAATTAAATAATATGTTTTTGTTCGCAAAATATAATAATAAACACACAAAAAGCAAAGCTATTATTAAATCATTAGTTGTATCAGTATCAAGTCCGTGAGCTGAGTTAAACTTCAACTCTCTTTTTTTATTTGTATTTATTGGCTTCTAAATTACATTTAGCCACTAACAGTCTAATATAAATTATTACTACTATAAACAATATAAAATGTATACTTATAAGCAACTCCAACTCTATTCAGTGAAGAATAGTTTGAAAGATTTCCCATTGCCTTTTTACACCGCAGTGCCCAAAATGGGTTATTTTCAATTGGAAACATCTTTTTGATATATACTTTTAAGTGAAAATAGACATCGGTACTGCACGATACCGGTCTGGAGCTCTAAGTCACGATCCTGTCCACACGAGGCATCTTAACCATTACACCATGGAATATCTTGAGTTAATTAGTCACAACTGGATTGGACAAATTCTGAGTTGCCGTCCATTCAAAGAAAAATTCATATAAGTCATGAATGTCTTAGTATAACAGATTATAGTTAAAAAATACTTGATATTATGACCATTAAAATTTATTTTCGGACATTGTCCAATGACACATACTGCTCTAATTTTTCTGGCATTTTTTAATCATACAAATGTTATGAAAAATATTTTCAATGTGATCAGAGACAATTTCCTTGCAGGTACACTGTTTGTTAGTAGAGATATATTTATTAATTAAAATGAAAATATAAGATGGTGCCAGAACATGGGGGTTGTCAGATAAGATTTAAGTTTTCCCAAAGCCTTCTATTCTCTGACCACTAGATTTGATATTATTCAAATCATTTTGACATGCAAGTTTTGTTAAGAAACAAAAAAATAGCTGGAAAACAATTGGGCAAAATAAATTCATTAAAAATTTTCGTTTTATAAAATTTTGCCTCACCTTTAAAATGCAAGATAATATTAAAGATAATGATACTAGTAAAGAACTTGATCCAGATGAAACAAACATCGAAAAAGGTATTTTGAATTTTGAAGATTTAATGTTTGAAGAAAATGATAATAGTAAAGAATTTGGTCTAGATGAAACAAACATCGAAAAAGGTATTTCAAATTCTGAAGAAATAATGTTTAAAAAACTCATCCATCGGTATTCAGAGGAAATAGAGCATTTCAGGAAAGTTCTAGAAGATTATAAAAAATTTCAACAAATATTAGAAGATGCAAAGGAAAAGGTGAACACGCAAAGTGGCAATAGCTTTGAAGATCCAGCTAGTAGCATTGAAAATGATGAAGTGCAGGAAGCAAGGAAAAATGTCCTCATTCATTTTGAAATGTTGACAGAACTTTCGTGCCAGTTAACGGCTCTAGCCGACGAATGTTTCGCTCTTCTTGCTGAAGATGATAAACCATCAACTGAAAATTAATTATCTTTACTTTATATGTTCGATAATAAATTTTTTTATGAGTTTTGCCCTATTTTTAGATTTTACTTTTACTTTCAGAAAAATATTATTTTTCAGGATATGGGTAAACTTGATTTTAAATATGTTTTCAGATATAAATAATTTCGAATTTTGATTTAGTAGTATTTCTGGCACTTGGTTCGGTAGTAAAAACTGAGTAGTATCGATACTTTTATCACAATACTTTTTATTATCGATATTTAGCATCAATACTTTTTAGTACCCTGTATCGATACTTTGCACTCGACAATGAGCACGCAATTAAACAAGTAATTAAGTTTTATAAATTGACTTTTTTAGATCCAGCTTTTTAGATATTAATTGCCATTTATTAATGTTTAGGCAAAACTCTGATTATTAAATTGAACCCTTAAATAAAATAGATTTTTTTTATTATTTTCACATTCTATTCAGGGTTTTTTGGGGTATTTCTAATTACCGAAGATAACATACTGAGAAATACTAGACAAATAAGGTTTAAAAGATGATGATCAACTTATGCTTTAAGCCTTAAGATATTTTCAGATGTTTTCTATCGTTGTCTCAACGCTAAATTATTCAAAAAACATTTTATTGTATTGACAAAATAAAGAAATGATAACATTTTTGGGAAGGTAGATTCAGCGACTTCGGAGATCTAATGAACAAAGTGAAGTAATGCCATTCGGCAGCCAAGAATTATCATTAGACATATGCACAACAACTTATCAGTTATTTTATTAATGAGATTTCAATAGTGAGTAAAAATTTTGTTTATATTTCTATAGGTTCTGTACCAAGATCTATAATATTCAATCGAAATTGGAATGCGGCGCTCACGCGCTTCGATATTTCGTCTTTAAAACTATTTAAACTATTTTTCTCAAAGTTTTCAGAAAAGTGTAAAGCTTTTAAGAGAATTAAATCACGGTACGGAAAGTTTCAGCAATTTTTCTTAAGGCATGATGCCGTGCACCACAGTTATCTCTTCATTTTAATCCAACCATTTATTTTATTTGTATAATCATATACTGGACGAAGAACTCAATCTTTCGGAGTAAATAAGTAATTTTACTTAGATCGGCCGATATCGCTAACGATGTGCGAAAAATAATCGTTTCGTCAAGTCATCCCTACATGTAGTCGGCGGCAGTCGCGGGCTATTATCATTTGCCTACGTCTCCGTTTGGCAATCAGCTCTCGTAACATTACATAAAGTTCAAGTTAACAGAAAGTGTACTATGGCGCGTTCCCACTAGTGGTTAATGAAAGTATTGAGTACTGACTGAGTATCCATGTCATAGACAAGAAAATCCATACTTTGCCATCGATGATGATGGCTTTTGATTTCGATGCTTTGGCGCGGTACTTCTAGCGGAGGCGATACTGCTCATTATAATCACTTCTACTCCTTTGTTCTGGTTAATATGAATGACCGGTTTGAATTCTCTAAATTATATCAAAAATATAGTTTTTTCGACAATCAGATTACAATTTAATAATCTATAAGTTCTAATTGGGAATATTAAACAAAATATTAGGTTGGGGAAAAAGAAATCCATTATTTTTACGTGAACTTCAAGACTTTATTTAACATGTTTTGCATTGTCCGATTTAGGTCAAATATGCACCATTTTGTTCTATAATTTGTTGCTATTTTAATGGTAGCTTCATTATGCCTCTCTCATAAAAGTCTTGGTCCTTATTAGCGAAAAACTCCAGCAATTGATTTTCACACTCTTCCCTTGATGCCAATTTCTTATCACTAAAAAAGTTTTGCAATGCAAGAAAAAGATGGTAATCGCTTGGTGCGAGGTCCGGACTGTATGGTGGATGCATCAAAAGTTCCCAACCAAGCTCCTGGAGTTTCTGACGAGTCACTATAGAAGTGTGTGGCCTGGCGTTGTCCTGATGGAACACGACACCTCTTCTGTTGGCCAATTCTGGCCGTTTCTGGTCAATTGCTCGCTTCAGGCGGTCCAGTTGTTGACAATAGATGTCTGAATTTAATGTTTGGCCATATGGAAGCAACTCGTAATAAATGATTCCTTTCCAATCCCACCAAACGCAAAGCAGAACCTTCCTGGCCGTTAGTCCCGGTTTGGCCACCGTCTGAGCTGCTTCACCGTAATTAGCTGTTACAGTATCGGGACCATAAACACTATTCACATTTTCAGCCGCCTGACTTGCATTTTCGCCCTTATCAAAGAAAAACTGTAAAATGTACCGAATTTTCTCTTTGTTGACTTCCATCTTTAACGCCGTGTAACTCAGAACTGAATGGACAAAACAAAAATCTGCAAACGAATTCTTTTAGTGCGAACTGTTACCTTGACAACGAGCATAAATTTGAAATTGTTTGATCGATAATTTACGAGATATCGATCATTACAGCCATCTACCGAAAAAATAATGGATTTCTTTTTCCCCAACCTAATATATGAAAACAGTTCAAAATAAACTGCTGATAATGAGTTGTGGCGAGCATTGCTCACTTAGTAGCGTGTTCGATCGAATTTTGTCATTGAATTCAAATTTAAGAAAAAAACTAGTGGGACGCATGGCATCGTGCCTTAAGGCAAATTGCTGGAACTTCCCGTACCGTAAATAAAGATTCGAGGAATGAAAATAATCAATAATTTCAAATAGATTATTTATTACATACTGTAAACTTATAAGTGCTTTTTAAACTGGGCGACGAGCGTATTTTATGAACAGCTTATGTGTACGTTTCAAAAGTTTTTTAAATAAGATTTTTTGGATAATTCAGAAATTTTTTGAAAATTTAGAAATTTTTTGGAATTAAAAAAAAAGTTTTTTCTAAATTTTTCGAGAATTTGGAAATTTTTAAAAATGTTCGATTTTTTTTTAAATTATCGCAATATTCTCAAATTTTTGTAAAAATATTTTTTTTTAAATTTTCAAAATTTAGTTTTTTCAAAAATGATGAAAAATTTCGAAAATTTAAATTTTTTTTGAAAATTTTGATTTTTTTTCGAAAATTTTCAAAATTATTAAATTTTCTGAAAATGCATTTTTGCACACCGTCTACACAAGCAAAATGTTTTTTGAATTAATCTAATCAAATGATCCGTTCTCTCAAAAACTGCATAACCGTTTTTACACCCTTTGCGCTCCATACCTCGCGATCGAGTACGAATCGATTTTTCAATTTTATAAATCGGTTATTCCATACTGTAGAAAATGTCGAGGACATTTGTTTGAACCATGTAAATAAACTTCAAATTTAAAATATACACAATATTTGTTAATGATATTCTCTCATGCTTAAAAAATGATTACATTTTCGAAACTTTAAATTGTTTAATTCTTTTAATAACTCTTTACAGTTTTATTTTAAACTTGAACATAATAGCTCAATTAGTTTTTTAGATTTAAATATAATTAAAAGTAATTCCGACAACCTTAGCATCACTGATTGGTATCAAAAACCAACTTGGTCTGCTAGCTACATAAATTATTTTTCTTTTCTTTCACGTTCAATAAAAATTACCACCATTATTAGACACCATCATTTCCTTAATATGCAGAGCCATTTTATTCAGTGATAAAACCTTTTGGGAAAAAAATTAAATTTAATTTGTTCAGTTTTTTGTGAAACCTTTACCCTTTACATTTAATAAACAATGTAATCAAAAACAGGTTAAATTTTCTAAAAAATAAGTCTTTTAATATTCAGTCTGACAATAATATCGATGTTGATATTTCAAAAAGTTCTCTTTTGACTAATTCTGATCCGTCTTTTACAAAAAAATACAAAGGAATTTTTTCTTTGTCATACTTAGGTAGTTTTTCACTCTTTCGAAAAAAATTGTTTTTAAATGAAGGTTTTTTGTTAGTTTTTAATTTTGACAATACTTTCAACTCGCTTTTAACTTCCTTGAAGTTTAAAACTCCTGTTGAGTGTATTACTGATGTTGTTTACAAAGCGGATTGTAATGATTGTAATTGTTGTTATATTGGCGAATGTTCGCGATACATCTACAAGAGAATGAACCAACATATTTGTAATTCCAAAAATTCAAATCAGTATAAAACAAGGTTTTCGATACATGTCAATAGTTTAAACCATACGTTCAATACCAAAAATCCTATTATTTTACATAAGGAAAAGAATGGTGACCTCAGAAAATTTGCTGAATCTGTATTTATCTTTGTGTTAATAAACGAAATTCTGCTCTGTTAGTACATGACTCTTTTCATAATATTATCAATTTCTTTAAAAATAATTCTTTAAATATTTGACTCTTGTGTTTTTCAATTAGTCTTTTTGATCTTATATTTTTATATTTTTGTATTTATTTTCTCTAATTGTTGTCCCCACTGTTTAACTATCCTTGAAATCCACCCCTGCATCTTTTGTGAACCTTCGGTTTTTCATCGGGTGCGGTCTATATATATATATATATATATATATATATATATATATATTCCACTATTCGGTATTTATATATACAAATATTTTTTCCAAGAAATTTGTTCCCGTAATGCATTGCAGTATGTAAATTTTATTTACCTAATTATTTATTTCATTACCATAATTTTATATTCATTCTATTTAGATACATGGGATTTCCAATGATCGATATGCCTTCGACCAATATCGCCAAATACTTTTATGTAGCAGCCAGATTCATTGAGGACGGACTGAAAAGCGGTGGTAATTATTTATATTTATATTCATATTCATACTCAATGTAAATCAATAGTCGGTAAAAGCAATTAAATATAGTGTGTGGAATGTCTCTATTACGATCCCTATTGTTTTATCTGACTTGGAAATTAAATGTAATTTCTAAAACTATTTTTATGGTTTTTTGTTACCATATAATTATACTGTAGCTCTTTATTATCACGCGACGATGAAGGAAAATTGTCTTTATAAGTGACAATGATGAATGATAAAAAAGTTACAGTAATTTGTGTCGTGAGCGTCTATTTTGCTACAATAATTAATATAAAAACAACTTAGTTAGAATATCCTGTAACGCGTTCAAGTAATATCAAAGATTTTGCAGTGGGAAATAATTGCGAAAAGTTATTTATATTTATATTTCTTTATACTTATTGTTTTCAAACACGACTACAATACATGCTCGTACTGACTAAATATTTTACAAATATTGCATTGTACGTTAAATTAACAGTATTTTCTTTGGAAATCAATGTTATGAGAATATTCTCTGCATTCGATGTCATTATTATGGAAAAATTTCAATGTTTGATCTGTGAATATTTTCTGGATATGATATTAATAATAATTATTGTAGTGGATATTATGTTATTTCTTACATGCATTGCGAAACATGCACAGAAGTTGCCAATCATTTTATTAATAATTCACTCATTCATAATGTGTTTGATCAACATCCGCATATTACAAATAGGCAAATGTTTTGGAAGAAATGCACTAAATTAAGCCTTATTCTAATTTTGATATTTTAATAAAGAAATCCGAAGTCAATTTAGTCTAAATCCGATTATTTCATATATATATATATATATATATATATATATATATATATATATATATACAGAGTCAGTCCTGCCTTGCATGCGATGCATGCAAAAAATGCGGGCGCACGCCTTAGGGGGCGCTAAAACGAGTTTCGGAAATTAAATTAATAATATATTATTTATACTTTTTATTATTTATATAAAATTTAGAATACCTAATAAATTATAATAAACAATCTAACTTAACTAGGGATATGAAGACACAAAACGCATATTCATTTTGCAATGTGATATCAGTAGAAACAATTTACCGATTAATAACTCTGCTAATTAGTAAATAACAGTTCAGTTTATTGCTTCGTCTACTTATTCAATTTTTTCTTTGTTTGAAGTTACCGTGGAATCGAAAAAGAAATTATCTAGTGTTCAATCCCATAAGCGCAAATCTGCGAAAGATTAAATTATTTATTGGGTGTTGTTGACGAAAAATTGCTAGCCGATTTAGTTGAAACGGAACTTGTTGAAAAATATAAACAGATTTTAATCGGGAAAACAAAAAATGGGGAGTCAGTGCTTAGAAAATGGCAAGTTTATTCCGAGAAATTGAATTGTAACTTTGTTTTTGTTGCATCTGATAAACTTTGAATGTTGAAGACAGGCGAGGTTACGCGCTTGAAAAAAAAAATGCGGGCGCTAAGGACCTCAGGACCGGCTCTGTATATATATATATATATATATATATATATATATATACACTTCTACCCACAGGCATTTTGTTTAACAAATATAAAATGAGAAAAGTATAAATAGATAAGAATAGATAAATACAATATTTTTATATTTGCAAACAAACAAATCTGGTTAAAAATTTCCACAAATGAGTACACTTTTTAATAAATAAGAATTCATGAAAAGTTACATAATGATTTAAAAAAGACATACATAGACATTATTTATGTACATTTTATTCTGTTCCATTAGCCGATATGGACATATTTTTAGCTAAATCATCAGGGCACTATATAACCTAAACATTTAATTAGTTGCGTCAGTATTCAATAAACAGAGTTGTCTCTATTATAGACGTACTATTACAATAGTAGCATTATTATATTAATCGACTATACAAGAATGCGGTATGTATTTACAAGTCGTGAAAAATTGCAAACAATCCCAATTTGGAGATGTATCTACTAAAAATACAGAACACGTCGACTTACAAATTTTACTACGAGGATACGTAGACTTTCGTTACATTGCATTATATATTTTTGCTAATAAATATATATTCACACCGAACTTAAGTATACTAGACATTCCAATGCCTAACCAAATTTTTTTTTCCCCAGGGCGGGTACTCGTCCACTGCCACATGGGTATGTCGCGTTCTGCCACGTGCGTCCTGGCCTTCCTGATGATCTCCCGCGATATGACCGCGTGCGAGGCGCTGCGCACCGTCCGACTCAGGCGAGACGTCAGGCCCAACGACGGCTTCCTCAGGCAACTCACCGAACTGGACAGGGATCTGGCCCTTCAGAGGTCGTCGAATCGGTATCGCTAGCAGTATAGAGGTAAGTGAAAATCGGGAAAGATGGTTATTAGATTTGTGACATATAATTCGGAATAATAAATTTATGAAAACATAAATGTGTAGGAGTAAACACACACACTATATATATATATATATATATATATATATATATATATATATATATATAGACATACGCTTACATTTTCTTCGCTGTTTAATTACGACGTTTCGAAACTAGATACGTTTCATCAGGTTTATTCTGCATTATTGAACTATAAATCCACATCAATAATGTTTTTTTAAAAGCACTCGCAAAATATTACTCAAGAATATTTCAAAATTTGGACTTCACTTGACTCGGTGTACTATCTGTAAAGAAGAAAACCATAAGCACTATCCTGTCAGAATTATTATTTGTAATTCTTTCTATTAAAATAAACTTATGCCAGTACAAGTGATTTTGATCAGTTTTATTGAAATACACATAGGGGAAAGACCCGTAACGACGGACAGCACCTAATACCGGACACTTTATTTAACACGTATTATTTGAGCGAGTATTAATCTTTTTATATCAAAATACAAGTGAAAGAAGCGCGGGGGACACACAAGTGCAGGATCACCCGCCAAGACTCACCTGTGACGCACACGGCCACGGCGGGAACAACCCTTTGCTGTTTTAGGCGCAAAATCACGGCATCACCTCAATATCAATGGATGTAATTTTACTGTATTTAGGCATTTATATTTGAGTGGCATTGAATGATAAAAGTAGTACTTGATTGTTATCCGTAAAATGGTAGAATATAGTCGTCCCTTAGCGCCTGACAGTAAACATCTTGAAATTTCTTGTGAGAGTTGACGTAATAATTTTATTCTGTATGAGTGCTAACGGTCACTACATACCCTCATTTTTCGTATTTCCTAGTCGAAGAATGAAAATCTTATGATGAATGCTCCAGCTGAGAGCTTCAGTGTGGCCCAGCCAAAAGGGTGGATAAATAGGGATTTTTTTTTGCAATATCTAAGAATATTCGTCAAACACACATGTGCAGACACTCCAGAGTATGGAGATAGCTACCTATGTGTTCAATATTGGTTATTTTGAAATGTCCGGTACTAGGTGCCACTTTGTAAAATCATATTTCTTGTTACCAAAGTTTGATTGATGGTATTAATTATTTTTTAGCAAAGATTGCGTTTTTGTTAATTTAGTTTGATTTCTAACTTTGTTATCTAACCTATGTCATAATGTAATAAACATTTCGTAAAATATTATTTTATTAACTTCCCGTAGGGTAAGTTATAGTAATCGCAAAAAAATCGAAAATGAAAATTTTTATATATCTTTACGTTTCAGAGGTTTCTGAACATTTTGGCATACCTTAGAAAAAATGGATGTATGTGTGTGTGTGTGTGTGTGTGTGTGTGTGTGTGTGTGTGTGTGCGTGTGTGTATGTATGTGCGGATACAAATTTTCGTCGACGATTTCGGGAACACGGATCAACCGATTTGAATAATTCAAAAAACATTCGATTCGTATTGATAAGGAGGCGTGCTGATTAGTTTTTGGCGAAGGCAGGTCTAGCCGTTTCGGAGATACGGTGCAAAAAGTGCCGGAAACGGTAACTCAGTTTTTAAGAGAACGGAGCGTCCGATTTTAATAATTCAAAAAACATTTTACTTGTATTGACTTGATAAAGAATTGGTCAAATTTTCATAAAGGCAGGTCTAGCGGTTTCGGAGATCTAACAAAAAAAGTAAAAAAAAAATGCTATTTGGCGGTCAAAAATGATCATTAGACATATGCACATCAAATTTTCAGATATTTTATAGAGATTTTAACAATAAGTTTAAATTTTGTTTATTTTCCTATGGGTTCCGTATCAATGTTTACCCGTTAGACAGCGACGCCGCGCTTACGCGCTTTATATTTTGTCTCTATGCAGTTAAAGCAGTGCGATTGCTTTGAAAAACAAGTTCAGATCTTCCAAAATATGTCAAAATAAAGAAAACATTTTTTTTCAAAAAAAAAAAAAAATTAAAAAAAATTTTTTTTTAAAAAAAAAATTAAAAAAAATATTTTTTTTTTTCAAAAAAAAGTAATTTTTTGTCCATTTTATAGTTTGTCAAAAATCTTATTTTTTCGAAGTAAATTTTTTTCAAAAATTATAATCGTTTTTAAAAAAAATAATTTTTGGTACGGGAAGTTCCAGCAATTTGCCTTAAGGCACGATGCCCTAATTGCCTTAAGACAGAATTCCACTTACAGCTAGTTTATTTATAAATAATATGCTTGCTGGAGTTTATTTATATTTGTTCACTTTCGGACAAAATTATATAGACTATTGCGCAGGAACTACTAGCCGTTGCTCTTTCGGGGCCAAGATGAAAGAAAATTAAACCCTGTAAAACGTGATTGGCTTATAACTTGTACTCTAACTACTATTAAAAACATGCCAAAGAATCTGGTAAAAAGAAGAGAGTTGCATTTATAGCAAAGACCGCGCTAATGTCCTAAAAAAGATCAAACGATTTATTTTATTAACAGTCTTCTTGGAAATTAGTATCTCATTGTCAGTATAGCCTTACCTTACATGTGTTATTTCATTACGAGCTCTATGTACAAAATAGTTTATGTAAATCGTTGCATTTTTTAAAGAATGCGATACTGGTAGTCAATGAACCTAAGATGAGTAAATACTATTCAGATTCACTATTAAATATTTTATTACGAGCTCTATATGGTCTACAAGCTCTATAAAGTGGTTTTTATAATTAGTTGCATTTTTTTAAAAAATGCGATACTGGTAGTCAATGAACCTAAGATGAGTGAATACTATTTAGATTGATTATAATATCATTAAATTAATAAAAAATAATTGAGAAAAAAACACCATGGCATTTAGTCCATATCTACTTCCTCTACACTACCAACACAGTTAACTCTAAATTTAAGATCTCACACATATCTATTACTTCTCAAGAACTATAGCTTGTTATGTTTCAAATATCAAAAGCATTGTACTGATAACAAAGTATAATTCATAATTGTTTTGAGAATGTATATATCTTCGACAAATCCGAGATACCATCAGTGTCTCGAACACACACACACACACACACACATATATATATATATATATATATATATATATATATATACATAGATATATCTTATATATAAAATTTCCGTGTCACAAAGTTCATTCCCGTACTCCTACGAAACGGCTTTACTGATTCTCTGAGGATCGGTAACTATCTATTTTTCATACCCCCAAGTGATTACCCTTAATTTTATTTTTAAGTTTTGGACAATTTTTTTTGTTTTTATTTTTTTATAATGTGGCATTAAAAATACATACAACCTTAAATATTTACTTTTTTATCACCAATCCCTATTTTTCTATAGTCATTTTAGTAATTCAATCATTGCTCATCATTGAATATTTTTGACATCATTTTCGTTCAGATTTTTGAGCTTGAAGAAAAAGCTTACATCATTCTTTAAAATACTATTTATTTTTATCAAGGGTTGTCCATCCCTAACGTTTTTTTTTAATTTTGGGGCCAACTTTATATATTTCAATATTCTATAAATTGAAATTGAAAAATAAATAGAACTCTTTTTACTTAAAAAAACTATTTTTATCAAGGGTTGTCCACCTTTAACTTATTTTTTATATTTTGGAATCAATTTCAAATCAACTGAATACAACTCTAAATTTTTACCCTCCTTCCAGAAATCTCTATTTCATAATAGGCATTTTATTAATCGAATCATTTTCGACTACGCTTTCAGTCAGTGGGTGTTTTTTACTTACCTTATGATTAATTATGAATTTTATTAAAAAAGCAATTTATTTTTATTAAGAGTTGTCCATTTTTTATTGTACAAATATTTCTCGATGCGCACAAACAGTTTATAAATGTATTGTATAAAGCGTCATTTTTGCAAAAAATAGGGGGATTGAATATTAAAATCTGAAGATAAAACAGTTTTTATTAGGAATTAGGTACCATACAGATCTTATATCAAAGCTGTAACATTTTCTATTTTCTCCATTTTTTTCAAGCCACATACCAATTTAATTTAAAAATAAATTATCGAATTTTGCATTGTAATTAAAAAATTAATAAATTGATGCAAAACAACTGTAATAATAAATCAAAATCTTGAAACTTCAAATGCGCCAATTCAATTTAAATATAATTACTGTCAGATAAGGTTGGCACTTGCAGACTATTAATATGACCCAGGAAAATTTATATGGGGCGTGCTTTGTAGTGCATTGTTTGGGGCTACTTCTTCCACTTATTTACCACATTTGCAATCAGTTAGTAATTTTTTTATAATAGAAATATTTTTTATTACAGAACGTTTGCCGGGTCAGCTAGTATATATATTAGGGTGGTCCTTAATGTGAACATTTTCGAATTTCATTGCTCCCAAGGGCTCAAATGGTTCCAAATTGAACAAAAACAGCTTTTAATATAGTCTTTTAGATAGTGCGTTTTATATGTATCATCCAACATTGACTAAAGTTAATAGGACGACACGGAAGATTTGCTATGCTATTACATAGTTATGAGTTTTTCATAAATGCATATAATGGCGACAAATCCATTTCACCAACCGTCTAAAATTATATTTAAGACCAATATAATCTATTTAATAAATAATCCAATATATTCACATTACAAAAAGTGTTTGAAGCACGTTCCTTGTTACCTGCATTTTGAAATAATATAGAATTACCGCGTGTTGCAGATATTTTACGAGTCTATTAAATTTGATTTCCCCATTTGAAAGTGTTTGAATGACGTTTGAATTGAATTGGCCCCGCGCCAAAAACTGTTTGGGCAAATATCGTTCCACCGTATCAGCTTGCACTTGTTAGTCAGGCTAGAAAGATAAGTAGTCCGATAAGAATCTTCGAATAGATTACGGCATTATCTATAGAAGCCAGGAATTATATGAATTACAGATTTATTGTTAACTATAATAGGCGGTGTATTTGTTGCACGGCGACAGAGCCGCTGACATTAAAACCACAAAATTTTATGATCAAGCAGTAGTGATATCTATTTGCGTTTCAATATATAGATTAGGAGATA